TGTTATAATCATAGCTGTTCTGGCCTCTTTCCTAGAGTCAGAGTCAGATGATCTGGAATGAAATGTAAAAGTCAGCATACAACTATCACCTTGGAAGGGTCAATTTCAATGACTACATGAGTCACACAAATAAATAAAATCATTCTGCTCTTCCTGTGAGTGGCCTGAGGTGACCTGTGAAAATGGTTTGCTACTCTCTCACCCCAGAGAACCCCACAAAATCATGCAAATCAAGAAGCTCAAATCTCTCCATTCACTTTACGAACATGTGTAAAACTTCCCAGGCTATCAAGGGAATGCATATCTGAAAGGATGTCACCAAGTATCTGAAGGATGTCACATTAAAGAAACAATGTGTGCCATTGTGGCATTACAATGGTACAGTTAGTAGGGGTGCCCAGGCCAAAACACTGGGGCTGGATGCAGGGTCGGTGGCCCAAAAAGAGGGCTGAATTTTTGCTTCACATGCTTAAAATGCAAAGAATAATGCTGAACTTAAGGGTTTAGATATAGAGTCTCCAGTTATGGAACATATCTAGGTGAGCAAATTACCCAAGATGCGCCTCCATACTCACAGAACTCATGGCTGGATTAACCCACACATGAGTGCCCCCTGCCATACTGAGATGATCCTTACTGAAAAGGAACAAATTGTTCCTAAACCAGAGGAGGAAGCTGCACAGAAGAAAGAGATACCAGAAGAAACTGAAGAAACAAAAACTTATGGCATGGGAATAAATTACACATAAAATAAATGCAAAATAAAATATCTTGATATTGCTGCTATTTAAAATGGACACCTGCAAGCAGGTTCAGAGGCCAGGGGTTCAATCCCCAGGCTTGCTGTGCCAGCCCCGTCCCCAGGGATTGCTAAGAAGGCAATTGAGACTGGGCCTGGCGGCCCGCAAACCTATAATCCCAGCACTTGGGAGGCTGTAAACAGGTGGATTGCTATGAGTTTGATCTAGTAGTGAGACCCTGAACACTCTATAGAACCATTTTTATTTTTGGGGGGGTTTTCTTAATGTTATTTTATTATAAAGAGTAAAAAAACAAAGAGAAAAAAGCAAAAGCAAAGAGCAAAAACAAACACAGACACAGAGTTAACATACAACAATGCATATGGTACAAATTTGCAAAACAAGACTAACAAATTAACAATGGTTGTTATATTATGTATTATTATTAAATGTGCTCAGATTAACAGGTGTCAGTATGCAAATTGAATAAATAATTGAACATTAACATTTGCTCTCAATAATCCTTAAGTTTTTTCTTATCCTTTTTGCTTTTTTAAAACTTATTTGAAAGAGTATAATAATAATTGATAAGACATTCGAAATGGTATACATTTTGAAGAACAAGATGAGAGGTATTCAACCATGCTTCTTGTATTTCACATTGCTGTATAGAACCTTCCCTAAAAAATTCCAAAAAAAAAAAAAAAAAAAAAGGAATGAGCTATTTCTGGCATCATGCAGGGAACTTCCTGTATTTCTGTAGACTGAGGAATATGACCATATGAAGATACTCCAGTCAAAACATCCCACAGCCGAGTGGCCCAGTTGGCATGGAGGTTTCACCCACTGCCATGTCAAAACCGTTAAATTCTTAACAGGTCATTGGTTAAATGCTGGAAGCATAAGGAGCTCTGATGTTGAACTAGAACAATTCAATGAGTAATATAAAAAATGATTTCGCAAAGATGATTGCCATCAGATTCATGTGCTACATCACCTATCAAAATCCTTCTTTAACACACTAAGATGTTTCCAGTACTTTCAAAAATAATCTTAAAAAGAAGAGACATAGCAATAATTATACCCAATTTGGCATTTCATTTATTGGGACTAAAGACTATTTTGTTGTGCAATGTGTTATTTGCTGAGAAGTGCTTACAAAAAATAGATAAAACCCTTTTCTCTCTCCTGTTAACAAAACATGAAAATTATTTCTTAAAAGCATTATTTTATTCTCCAAGCAATTTTTTAAAAGTCAACTAGTGTCCTGAAGGAAGTCCCTCCCCAAATTCTGATGCCATTACACTAGTTAAATTTCAATTTACATTTTAATGTACACAGGTCCCCAAGTCAAATGCAATATTTAATGACAAATCATGTCTTAGCTTGCATAAGTAATATGAAATAAATTAAGGAATCTACTTGCTACCTGGGAAGAATTAAAAATATGCTGTAGTGATTATTAGAGATTAGTGAATTGTATCATATAGGCTTTTTAATTATTTATTATTTATTTTATTTATTTTTTTCATATCGGCTTTAATGATATTCTGAGATATTTTTACTTAAAATCACGACTTTATCATACATATATGTGTGCGTCATGTATGAAAATGACAGAATGATGCTTCTTAATTTCTGGAGAGATTTGCAGTATTACTAAACTGAAAGTATATATTTCATGACTCTATTACGATTACTCTATCATTGATTTTATCCCTTCGTCATTGAGTCTCTCATCTCTAGAAGAGCAGGACACCTTAGGCTGCTACCAAATGAGTTTTACAAAGACTTCTTACTCTGTAGTCTACAGAGTGATCACGAAGATACTATAAATTTCATTCAATTCCTTTAAAGGCACTAAGGAATACACACCAGCTAATTCAAGACACTGGAGCTGCAGAGGACTGAATATGTCATAAAGGGGCAGCTGGTGACAGGTAATATGTTAATCTGCACCATGATAAGTTTTAAACGTGGCTTCAATATATCTAATTCGCACAAACTCTATAAAGTAGTGCTTATTCACTAATGAAGACTTAAAACCCAAAATAATGAAACAGACTGTTCAAAAACTAAGCAATAGCAGAGTTACTTGTTTTGAAAATCTGTAACATGTGTATTCTCGAATGTCACCCTGTTTCTGTCTTTGTTTTTGATGTTTTTGTTCTTTCTTTTGTTTTTACTTTTCAAAATAAAAAAAAAAAAACCTGAAAAGCCAACAGGATTCCAGGGTCTGAGTTCTTTACCAGAAAGGCAACAGATGTGTGGAACTAGAGACAGCAAGAACAATGCATGCGCTGAGGAACCGTACCCAGAGCATTCGGAAAGATGAAGCCCAGTGACATGCAGAGGTGGACATGAGCGAGGCTTTGCCAGTGTTTGGTTGGCATTTGGGAGCATCACAGAATTTCTGTACTCATGATGCATGACTTCTTAGCAGGGTGGGGGCCTGGGTGGAAGGGGTGGGTTACTGGGGTGTGACTTTGGAGGGTACGGCTCTTCCACTGGCTCTTCTGTCAGATTGCTGGGTATTGTGCATGGAGACGTTGTTTTGTTTTGTTTGTTTCTGCCAAGCCCTCTGCCATACTATTCATATCTTGGAGCCAACCAACCATGGACTTCACTCTCTGAAAGTATGAGACAAAATCCTGTTTTCCTCTTAAAATGCTCATGTCAGATACTTTGTCCCAGTGACATAAAAGTGCCTAATAAACTATGGAAACACAAATAAAACCTTACCCTTGGAAAGTTTCTGGAGAAATCTAGCAGGCAGTTGGCAATCAGAAATGAAGCCAGGAAGTATGATGGTAGAAGAGACTAGAGGCAGACAGATTAAACTATTTGTAGCAGCTCAAAGATGAGGTTGTGTGGGCCTCACAGCAGATGTAATGGAGGGAGGGGAAAGTGAGAATGGGAAGGAAGAAATGGAAGCGCCGTGCTGAAACCCCACATGATGTTCTACTTGTGTTCCATTTGGATACAGTCTGAGAAATACTTGCTTTAGCTGGAGGGTAAAATGCCCTGGCTGGCCTGACCAGGTCCTGCAGGGAAAAAGAGACCTGGGCTCATTATGGGAAGGATAAATGCAAGTATAGTCTTTCTTTTAGCTGACCTCCTATTTCCAAATCATAAAATACTCAAGGGATATCATTAATTAACTAAATAAAACTGTAGCAGAAATACTTCCCCTGGCTCTCACACCACGAGCACAGCTTAGGAGGTGACCTCTTCTCCCTGGCCAGGGAGGTCCCAGGCAGCACTCAGGACTGGCCTCCCAAGTCACCAGCACAGTGAAGATGAAATGCTGTAAGAGGAGGATTTCATTTCCCAGGAAACATAAATGTCCCTGCAGATAGCAATTCATTCCTATTCTTAATCCCTACTCTATCAACATCTGCTAGGAAGAATTCCTTGTTCTCAAATAAATCCTCTTGTCCTGCACCCTTTATGGCATCTTCTAAAGGCAGTATTTGAATAAAACAACAGTAACCATCTCTGCCCTCCACCTGCCTGCTCATTTCCACAGGGGCTTTTACACTCCTGGGCACAAGAAGGATGCCGAGGGGATCTGTGCAGGGGGCTAATGGAAGCAGCTTGGAGAAAGATATTTTAAAGGAAGAGATGTGCTGTATCTATAAATCTCTTTTAGATTATAAAAACACTGATGCTGAAATATGATAAAGAAATCTTGTGCACTCCTGAAAAGCAATTTTCTTCCTTTCTTCTTTATTATTTTCCATGCGTGTATTTTTAAGCTCTACTTGGGTCAAATAAACGCAGTTTCAAAGCCCATTTCCATGTTTTAAGATTCAGAGAAAAGAGATTTAACAGTGGGCCATAAAAATCCCTTAATGCCTTTAATGTCTTATTTTTGCAGATTTTTTGGAAAGCACTGAGTAAATAGTCATCGCTCAACTTTTCCCATTAATGTCCTCTGAACTTTGTCATTGATGGGGAGCAGCAGATTCCCTTTGTGTGGGCTTCTCTCAGTCACAGTTTTTCCTGGCTTCATTGAAACACCTGCACCCTGGCAGGTGTGGCAGGATCTCTTGGCCAAAGGAATTTGCTGATAGTCTTCCCGAAGAATTATCGAAATACAATTTGCCAGAGTAAATATGTAGAGGCAGAAATGATTCTGATGATTTCCTTCTCCCCTTTAATATACCTTCTGCAGAAGCACACTACAACTCCAAGGTCCTCTTCCGCTCTGTTCCGCCCCTCCCCATACCCCCACATTTGGCCGAGGGTCATACTTACAGGCTATGCGCACCGAGGCTTTCCTGCTCTTGGAAGTGCCCAGGTGGCTCCATGCCACACACTGGCACCAGTAGTCCTCTGGCCCGTGGAAATCCTCCACCTGCTGCCTGGTGACGTTGATGAACACCTCCCGGACCTTCAAGCCTGGTGGGGAAGAAGGAGAAATCAGCTGAGGCCATTGTGTTTCTGAGATTTCAAGATGAGGTTATGAAACCTTTTCTTTTTAATTAACAACTCACTCTTTAATCAAAGCAAGGTTTTAATTACTTTAACAATAATATATTACTGCTAATTAAATCCCACCAGCTGAGAAGGTTGGAAAGCATGAGTGTAAAGTACTACTCACCAAGGCGGCTACAATGCACCATAACAATTTTCATGGCACCTTGACTTGACGCTTTGTCTTTGTCCTACTTTATATGAACTACAATGAGGAATATACTGCCAAAGTTAATTGTTGAAAACTAAATAGCCCTCAACACACCTTTACAGACAGTTTCAGGTAGTACTAAATGACTATGCCCCAGGATTTAGCAGCTAGGGAGGGTCGTTTGTAAAGACTTGGCTTAAAAGAAAGAGAACAAAGGATGCACACAGGAAGAGGACAAAGACTGGGAATCCAAGGAAGGTCTGAAACATCAGCTCAAAGCCTCAGGACTATACAGCCAATGAGATCTAAGAACCAGAACAGGGACTCTGATGAGAAGCAAAGAAGCTAAACCAAGTCAAGTCTCACAAGTCCTGAGAAGAAAAACTCAAGAAAACTCCAGGACAATAGGATGAGGAACGACAGCAAAAAGTTATTCTAGAAAGAGAGCATTAGATTAGACCTATTAAGAGGTCAACCTGCAATTGGATATTTAGGACTCTGCATTTTCCTAATACAAAAGGTGTCAGCATCCTCTACAATTCTGACCAAAGATTTCTTTCTTTTTTTTCTTTTTGGAAAAATGGTCACTTTTCATGGGGTCACTTTTCACAGAGTGTCCCAAATCAAAGGCATTCTCCCCACCCATGTCAATGAATTCCCTGCAAATAGGGCATCAGCCATTATCTTGTGCATGTCTCCTATGTCCAGCTCACACCTATCACACTGTGCCTTGCACTTAAGTGGACAGGGATGGAGGAAAGAGAACATGTGATTGCTTTCCCCAGAAGAGCCCGGCCTCCTGACAACCCTGCCCCTCTTCATCCACACAGTTCTGCAGTGCATGGAGGCATGCTACTGTATCTTTTATATATGGATGAGAAAACCAGGGTAGACAGGCTGAGCCACTTGTTCATAGTCACAGTTATAAACTTATCCCCTTCTGCTTTACACCAAAATCAGCACAATGCTCAGGTACTTCTCCATGATCCAATGCTGTCCCTGTGTTTCACCTACTTTATCTTATTAAACTAAGTTAATATGTCATGTTTTATATCTCAGTGTCCCCCAAATCTTGTATTTTCATAGGTTAAACTTTGGGAAGTTACTGGGTCATGGGGGATGATATTCATCTGTGGATTAGTGCACTTATGTACGTATAGCTACATGTAATGTTGGTAGCTGAACCCTGGGTGATGTGGACATCTGAGGTGTAGCATGGATGTATCTCTCTTGCAGCCTTCCATTGACCTTGCTGCTTTTTCCTGGTGCTGCCATGAACTTTTTCTATTGTCATGCTGCCCTGCCTTGAAGCCAATGCATTATGGACCAAACCCTCTCCAAACTGAGTCAAAATAAATCTTTCCTCCTTTAAGTTGTAGGGGTCAGGCATTGGGTTCCAGCAAGAAGAATAAGAATGGAGGCAGGAGTAACTGTATGCAGGAAACATCCCTTCTGCTCAGCCAATGTTGCGCACAGCGGTGAGAAACCATACGGCCAAGGAGATCACCATGTACGATATGAAGTGAACTTTCACAGTTTGTTGGAGGTATGCTATAAAGCAGAGAAACTTCTCTCTCTTCCACTGGAGAGTTTACTGTTCCCCTTTTGGTAGTAAGTGCCCAAGCACTGCCTTTTCCTTGTCAGGGAGGCATCAGTCTTTTCAGTCATCTCCTCCACTGAACAGGAGGAAAAATCCTTGAGGCCTGTTGTTATTGCTGCTGTTGCTACCTTTTGTCTCCATCTGTGGAAGCAAATAAAAGGTTGTGTGGCATGTAGCTCATCGTCAGAGCATTTGTCCAGCATGTAGAAGGCCCTGGCTTCGGTCAGCACTGCTGAAAAATACCAGTACACAAAAAAGTTGAGTTGCAAGACAAGCACAAGGAAAGGGGCATCAGTGAAGAGAAGGAAGAATATGACAGAAGGAAGAAATAAAGTATGATTTTTTTTAAAAAAGGAATTTCACTCCAGAAAGAAGACAGGAGAAAGCAGAAAGTAAAGTTGAAGAAGTGGCAATAAAGCATAACTTTGGGTAGGATGGTTGCTTGCTTTCTATTTTCTGCTTTGGCTTTGAAGCAAAGGGCAGGGGCTTTACTTTGAAGATGAAGAAAGAATACCAAGCCAACACATTTTGTGGGAGGTGGAGGAACACTATTAGTTTTCCATGGCACATCTATCCTGCTTTGGGGAAGGGTAGCCATGGAGACAAAATACACCCATGCTGTGGAAATCAGGGTCTTGCTAAAGCACCATAGGCTTGCTTGGAAAGATGGCTAAGTGAACGGGGAACACTCTCATTCTTCACTCTCCCCATCTTGCAAGTGTATCTAAGCTGCCAAATGAAAAATGAGACAGAAGGCCTTTCAAAAGGCCTCAGAGAGTATTCACACTGAAACTAGAAACGTTACATCAAACCTGTAAATACGCTGTGACTGGATCATGGTACCAGGGTATTTTGAGGATTTATTTTGATCTAGTATGATCAGACATGCATAAATGGCAATGACAATCACACACTCACGAATACCTAGAAACGAAAGTCATAGCGCACAGCACAGACCTCCTGAGGAACCCTCAGGATAGTCACGCGGTAGCGGAAGTGGGGAAGAGCCTTCTTACTGCAGTTCCTGTGGAAGGCCATAGGCAGGCTTAGAATTGGTTACCTGCAATAATAGTCATATTCTCTTGGTGATTTAAATGGATATCACTGTAGGTTTATTCCCTGATCCTGGGGGGCTAAGGTAGAGGGCCAGAGGCTTAGAACTCAAATGTTCCATAAGGCAGGCATATGACTTTTGTGTTGGCTGGTTTGCAAAGGAAAATCAAGATCACAAACAAGTTGTTTGCAAACTCTGGAAATGAACAATGTGACAAGGCCATCACCATGAGCTCAACCAACAACATGGTCCAATTAGAAAATTGGATTACTGCACGTGGACAGGAGTAATACTTCACACTTTGGAAAGCATGAACAGCCACCCACAGAGCCTTCTCCTTCCGGGAAGAGGGCAGAGTGGTAAGCAGCAACAGATCAGCCTCTCCAACATTAGCGTGGCAAAGAAGGATGGATGTGGATCTCCGGAACCCAGGAAAACTGGAGTCTGTAGAGCAACTGAGGAGGCAGACCTCAAAGGAGTTAAAGAAGGGGCAGTCTATACTTTCTCTCTGGCTCCTGGCTTATATGAGAGGAAGATTAAATCTACAGATAAGCAGTGAAAGCTGGGGACTGCAGAGGCTAAGGAAAAAAAGAACACCAGCCGAACAGAGCAGTGGATGCTGTGCACTAGCAGAGGTGGTGAGGGACCTCAGGCCACGAGCTTTCCACGTTCCCTGGAGACTCTGGTTGGATGCCATTCTAGAGAGGGGACAGCTGAACCTGAGACTCAGAGCAGCGAAGGAGTAGCTTTATCTAAGGGTTCCCAGGGGTGAGGCCCCACCATGAGAGAGGGCCCTGCTCAGGAAACCATGGTCAGGCCAGCAAGAGACACAGAGTGTTGTAAGCTAAAGAACTCGGATCCTAACCCTACAACCACAGCCTGGGTTCAGCCATAGTACCCTTGATTTTCTAAGTCTCAGACATGGCATCTCAATTTAATCCTACTGCTGGCTTGCCGGTGATTATCCAGCATGGATTTGGGTTCTGCCTGTTTCCTTTAGCTACCAACAAGAGCAGAATCTATCTTGAATTGGATGCTGCCCCAAACTGTGGACCTTAGAAGATAACCATAGGCTTCTAATCACAGAGAAATTTCTGTTTTTTTTTTCTTTGCTTTTGGATTTTTATTTTTGTTGCTGTTATTCATTTGGTTGTTTATACTTTTTTGTGTTTGTGAGTGTGAATGTTGTGTTTAGAGTCTGTTTTGTTTTATTCTAGTTCTCTTCCCCTCCACCTCCACCTCCTCCTCCTCCTGCTCCTCCTTCTCCTTTTCCTTTTAATTCTTCCTTCTTCCTCACTCTCTACCTCTATCTCTGTATCTGTCTGTCTCTGTCTCTCTGTCTTTCTGTGTCTCTTGTTGTTTGTCTCTCTCACTGTCTCTCTATTTGCCTGTCTGTCTGCCTGTCTCTGTCTGTCTGTCTGTCTGTCTGTCTGTCTGTCTCT